ATTGCAAAAAACTACAAAATATATTTCCATTCTGGAATGACTTCCGAAGTGGACCACCCACAAAATGACTTGATATATATATTATTTGCTAGCCCTCAATGACTAGATTGCATTGGTGTAGATTTTAGGTGAGAAAGGTGAGAAACGTAGATGTTATATTGACGTTAATATTTGATGTTTATAGGCTAGGCACACATGAGTTGTCTGCGTTGTATGTGTTGTAAGAGGAAGGTTTGTGCGAGAGCATTCCTAGCTCATGGAGTCAGCAGAGCACAGACGTAGGCAGTGCGTGGGAGTGGTGGGTGGGTCACAATCAAGTGCATTTCCATAAGGTTTTGTGTTGCTCCTTAAGTTAGGTTAGGCCAGGTTGGCCTAGGGTGGGATGATGTTTATTATACATAAAAGTAATCACAATTGGTTTGTGCATTTAGCATTCGAAAGTTGGCTGGCAATGTTTCTCAGTTGCATTCTATTTATTATAGAATAATGGGCAGCTTCAATTTGTACAACTTTCCTGCATGTTGCAGGAACAGGAAGAAGGGATCCAGGGCGTCTTTAGCAAATTTCCTCTTCCATAGATATGAGCCAAATTGAAGGAGCAAGCTTCCATCGTGGCTGGTGTGCGTGCTTGGCAATGAACGCTTCAGCTGCCACCAAGTATTTTCAATATTTTGGGTGTGGGCTAACGTTTTGGGATCTGTAGAAAAAGTTCATAATTAGGAATGGTATTGCCTTCATTCCTGATAGTGTGTCATGATATTGCACTTTATCAACGACATTGTGGGAGTGATTGACTGTGAGGTGTTCCCAGCCTCTTTCATCTAAGTTCATGTATCCACGCCAGCAACCAGTCATGACTGCTGACCGTGGGTGGATGGGATCTTCCACTATTTTCAAGGTCTTCCACATTCCTCTTGTTTTCGGGACAGGCAGACAAGAAAATGTCTCCCGTTTCTCTGCATATTCCTCCTTTATTTTGGAAAGACATGAACGCCATGAACAAATTTTTCAAATTTTCCTATCATTTACTCACTCGATATGTTGTACTCACCCATGACCCACTGTTCATCTACATGTCTGCCTCTTTGATACTTTCTGCGGCCAAATTTAGACTCCTCAACCTGTACAGCGAGGAATAATTATAATTTTACCGTTTTTTTATATGGTATTGCACGAGTTAGCTTGTGCTAATTTATTTTTTCTCTTTACTTGTTATCCTTTCTTGCTGTTCTTGTACATTTCCTTTTTTTATCTTTAATATATTTGAAAGCAATTGTAATATGTTATGGAATAATTTGGGATTTACACTCACAGTTAAACGTAGCCCCCCGATTTGCTCAGTAAGTGATTCACAAATTGTCTCTAAGCAGACTTCTTGGCAGTATGTGAGCCAGTCACTGATGGTCTCGTTGCTGAGGAGTTGGTGGTCTCATAAACTGCACTCTCTTTAAAGGAACGAGTAATTTCTTGTTTCAGGGATGAAGAAGTATGTCAGGGTGATGATCTTTTGGATGGAGATGTGTGCTCCCTCAACAAATGAATCTTTATAGAAGGGAATGTATGTTCCTTCTTTGGAGCACTTCTTGTTTCCACAGTGAAAAGCAATAGGAAAACTATTTGTGTCCTCTCTTATCTTTCACCAGGTTGAGGGACCTTCGCACTTTATGCCCAATTTGTTTTTTGGGAGTAGTCCAATTTCATGGGAAAAATTCACTGTGTTTTCAAAGGAGCTTTTTAAGGGTGCCATCTTCATAAGCGAAGAAACATAACGGGCTGGGAAGTGGAGGAAGTATGGTTTATAATCCTGGTCAAGGTCTTTTCACTCCCTTTTTGAGACGTCTCCATCTGGCCTCTGGCCTCGCTACCAGTTTTTACCTCCAAATAGGAGGCATATCAGTGTGAAGAATCTCACTGCACTTGTCCTTGAATGGCATCAGTTGTTGTCTGACATTCCTTTGTGGGTGGTTACCTCTAACAGGCATTTCCTTTAGAATCAGTTCAGGAACAAGTGCTCCTTGTATATTGTGCGTTGTGGATTTGTGGATAATTTGAGATGTGTTTGCATTTCATGAACTTTTTTACACAAGTATGATTAGGAAGTGTCATCTTGTGACCAATGAAATTCCAAGGAGTGGTTGTGTCTTGTTTCTTCTAAATGCAGACAGTGTCCATGAAGCCCAATTTTATCACTTTTTCTCTGAGGTTAGTTAGGGTTTAGTGAAAATCCACTAAAGACTTTCTTGCCCTCCATTTAACATGGCTGCCCTTATCTCCTGTATTCTCCATAGTGTGTCATATGAAACCATGGTATGCTGCAAAATATGTTATATACATCAATCTCATCTTCAAAAGTCATTCCTATTCCATAGTCTTGCAAAAATATTGGGAATGTCTTCTTGTAAAAGCAATAAGAGGTGCGGCCATCATGTGAGAATTCTTGCCTTTTCATGGTCAACTGAAAGTTATTCAATGACCAAAATGTATGTTTTTATTGGGTATTCTCATCTAAGATATTATCTTAGCTCTCAGAAATGTGGAAAAATCTCTTTTCTGGGCGTTACTGGGTGATCCACTTCGGAAGTCTTTCTAGAGTTCCTTTAATATTCCCATGAAAAATCATGCAGTTTCAGTATGTCTTCTCCAACTGTGAAAGAAGCTAAACAAACTTAATTCATGAAATAAAAAAGGGAAGTTAAATGGACATTCATGAGCTTTTATTATTGCTGGCTACAGGGCTGACAAATTTAATTTTCATTTAAGGTCATTCATGTAGAGCCAAGAAGCAAAATTAGCATGAGGGTAGCAAAAGTGTTTCATGAAAATTTGAATGAGCCTGAAAGACAAGTTAAAATTACAAAGCCACTTTTACTCCCTGCTGCCATCCACCTTGGTCTGCCCCTATTTCTGAAGAATCAAGTACTACTCCAAAATAGCAAGGCTCACTGCGAAAACAACAAATTATTCTTGCATCTAGCTCACAATAAGACCCAAATCTTCAAGTAGTTCAATTGTTATAAGCAAGGAGACACCTGATGTAACCTACATTAATCATACCTTAGGCCTATAATATCAAGGACAAGCAAAACAACTCACAGACTTCAAGTGGAAATGTGAAAATGAGCAGGTCTAAAACGGCCTCAATTTAGATACACAAGAAGTCTTGAAACTCAACTTCTTCCTTGGTCCTTTCCAGTCTCAGACTTT